ATGTGTTCACACTCAAAAGAACTAAATTTGTACGCCTGGGAGCAATATTATCCCAATGAGATTACATGATTTAGACAACATCAAGTTGAATCATTCTTTGTATTTTTGCATTGAAATTCAAATTTCTTAAAGTATTTTCAGTGTTTCCAATCAAGTTTATTCTTCTCAAACAAAAAGGAAACTGTCTTTGTAAATAAGTGAACTGGTAAATATTGATTATTATCATGGAAAGAATTAAACTCTTTTTATTTTGCATAAGAAGTTATGTTGCCTCAGCCTTCCAGGTGCCTACTCTTTAAATGGCAGGTATGAGACAATTTTTGGTGAATCAGCTCTTTAGTAATGGGACTCTGCCTTATTCACTGTGCTATGCTCAGCACCAGGCCCAGTGGAGTCATCCATTAAGTAATTTTTACTGAAAGGATTTTTAGATTTTCTCTTCCTACCAGAAGGCATTCATGAATAACCAATTTATGTTGCTTCATCATGGCCATATTTGCTAGCATTATAGTAGACAATGGCTAATATTCCCACTCTATGCATACTGGTGTCACTAACATCTCTTGAATTTGTTGCTAAAACCTCTAGGATTCTACTTCCCTTAAGGTGCATATGGCTCTGGGCAGGCAAGTTGCAAGAGCAGCAGCCTTATTTTCAGCCTTTGCCCAGCAAGTATAACCTCATCTCCAACCTCCTCTCTACTTTGTCATACAAGAAAAGTAACTGGCTTGGTGTCATGTACAGGGCCACATATCTAAACGCATGACTCACACAGCTCAGAAATCAGACAACTCCCCACATTAGTTTTGGTGGATCTTTTGTGAAGTGGCAGTTACCTATGTTTATCGTGCCAGACTCTTCGGAGGCCCCTCACAAAGAATGATGGATGATCTCCATCCATTTCTGTGAGATATTGGGCTCCATGGCAGTTTGATTTCCAAAATTTAGCCATGTATAATTAGAACAAAAAGTAAGACTTTGGATTCTGAATCCTTAGTCACTGTTTTTTGCCACCTGACCAGCTCATTTATTTTCTAAGCATGGCTGTGTTCTCTTTTCTAGATGCCAGGCGTGTAGCTTTAGTGACCTGCGATGGTCTGATGATTATGTTCCCATGAAATTCATATGTTGAAGTTTGAACCCCTGGAGAGATCATGTAATGTGGTGAAGATTTGGGGAATAAATTGGGGCATGAGGGAGGAGCCTCATGGATGGAATTAGTGCCTCATAAAAGAGGCCTGAGATACTCCCCCTCTTCTGCCATGTGAGGGTACAGGAGAAGTCAGTGATAAGCCCCCAGGAAACAGGCTCTGCTCCAAGCCCAACCGTACTGACACCGTGATTTGAATTTCAGTGTAGAACTGTGAGCAAAACACTTCTTCTCTTTACAAGCTACTGAGCCTATGCTCTTTTATTAAAGTCACCTGAAAGGACTAAGATACGGCCTGACCTATTTTCTCCTTAGGATACATCCCTGGAGTCTGTCAAATACCTAAAAAGAGAGAAGTCATTTACTCAACCTTGTTTGCTTGGCATGTAGTCCAGTCCCTATTATGTGAGTAGCACAATCAATATTCATGGAGAAATAATGAAGTTCACAATAGGAGAAAGAATAATCCCAACATATATACATACATAAGAATTAAGTGAAGAATAGATCTAAAGATACTTTGTAAATACTTCATGGTTCTCCGAAGGAAGTTATAATTGAATATTGTGTCAGGGAGTATTTTAAAAATTGTTGGCTTGAAGGGATACTTACTTCAATTGTGTACTTTCAACGTTTAGACTATCAGGATGAGACTCATAGGCCTGGTCACAAGTGGAAGGTTAGCTCTCCACTTTTATTTCAGAGATCCTCAAGAACCTACAATAGCTCCCTGATCACATGTTCCTCGTCTCCCTCAGGCAGTAAGGAAACAACGTGCACTTGACAATGTGTTCTGAACCTCGTTTACACACTTGTGGCCATTCTTTAACTTTAGCTTATGATGTTGGGGATCAACCTGAACACTTTACGGGACCAGTGATGCTGGGAACTCTAACTAGTGACATCCATGTCATCTCCCCCAGGGTATAATAGGTGGAATCAGTCTTGCAGTTTTGTTGATAAGGTGAGTGCAGCAAATACATGAGTTATTTTGTTTTCCCGCAAGAGCTTTAGTACAAATAGTGTAAAAACGAGGAGCGATTTATGCACTGAGCTTGTCTCCTCTCCCATTAGTCAACTGACTGGAGTCTCTTTCTCAACTGCTTTGCACTTAGACGTCCCACGAGAATAAATTCAGACCAACGACTGTGAGTATAAGTGATATTGCCATATAGAGTCCTGGTCCTTGAAAACACCCCATGCGATCTGCCATAACTTTCTATTTACAACTGAGCGGAATAGACTCAACTGCCACAGACAAATATGACATAACATGTTGACTCTGGCAAGGTCACACAATAGAAAGTACTCATGACCTTGATTCACCACAGAACAGCCAACAAGAAGAGTACTCTGATCAGGAATGTTTCTATTATGCTCTTATACAAAGGAAAGGTAAATTTCTGTAACGATCAAAGTATGAACAGTTTTCTGTTTATCTGTTAGAACAGCTACCATTAACAAAACTGACAGGGCCGGCTGAGTGGCACATTGGTTATTATCTGGCTTGGGACGCCAGCTCTGAGCAGCAGGGCCCCGGTTCACATCCCACATGAGGGCCAGTGATGCTGCACCCTCTACAGCTAAGATGGTGAGCAGCAGCTTGACCTGGAGCTGGGCTACCATTAGTCACCCGCAACGGCGTAGTCTTCAGCCCCTGCTGCAGTGTGCTGCCGTGAGCTACTTGTGTGGTGGAAGCCACTGTGAGCTGCCAGCAGCCAGTGTGAGCTGCCAAGAGCCACTGTGAGCGGCCGTCCAGAGACCGACAACCGATCTGCCTCATCCGGAAGACAGCAATGATAATACCAACATGGGCCAGTGAAGAGACATCCTGCACAACTAGACTGAAGAACAAAAGGAAAGCAATTTGTCTGTTCCCCTTACCCCGATTCCACAGTGCTGCTCCCCTTCCCCAATTCCCCAATAAAATCTTAAAAAAAAATAAACTGACAAATGACTTTAACAAAATACTATCCTGAAACACTTTCCCATAAAAAGCATGAACTAGACACTTTGGAAACAGCAAATATTTTCCTGCATCCCACCCCCCAAAAAAAACCTTAACCCAATTATTTAAATTATAATATTAAAGTATTTATTTAAAAGGTAAGTCACGTTCTTCTCTCGAAATATATTTTGTAGGTTCATGATGTGCAAATGTATTTTCTTAAATAACCCCATGATTTTGGTTTCAGGAATTTCTCAACTGGTCCCAAAATTGATTCCAATTTTTTGGGGGGCTTAGCAAACAATGTCATTGAACACTCAACACGAGTATAAGTTTCTTCTTCGTTTGTTTACTTTTTTGAGGATTGTTACATGAGAAAAAGGCACACTTGAATTTCACTTCTGACAACCTCCCAAGCACAGGAGCTGTGTTTCTTTTTCTTCAGATAGTTACGGATTCTGAGGAAGTAATTCCGGACAAGACTTCCCAAATCTTCAGGACAAACCAGAGTTTCTTCTTTCGTCTGCTCCAGCCTGTCCAAGCTGTGATCCAGGCTAGAGAGCAGTTTGTTCAGTGTGTGCTTCCAAGCAGCAGGGCTCTTGTTTGTGCTGAAGAGGTTGAAGATCTGCTGGAGCATCAGGTGGTGCAAACAGGTGCATCGTGTCTTCTGCATTTCGGTGATGTTTCTGCTTTCCCAAGGAAATTGGAAATCGGTTCTGTCATTTAGGCATAAGTGAGAGGGGATGCTTTTCAGCTGTCCCAAAGGACCGAAGATTTTCCCTTTTTCTAGGCTGTGGATGCAAGGCATGTCCCCTCCAAGAGAGCAAGCCGGGATGGAGCAGAGCATCACTCCTGCCACTAGCCACACACTGATCTGGGCCATTGAGAATTGCGGCGATTCGCCAGACGTCCTGCAGGGGGCGCGCGGGCACCGCTAAACACAGCCAAGTTCCCCTCCGGGCTTCCCTGCAAAGCGTGCTTCTCCTTCTGGCCGCAAGAGGGCGCGCGAACGCAGGCTTGGCAGCCTTTCTGTGTGTCGGGTAGCGAAGAGAACGGCGCGAGCAGCCCCATGGAGCCACTTTGTGCTGCTTTAATAGTGCGCAAGAAACCTTCCTTTCCTTTCCGCGGTCCTGACTGCTGAGGACGGAGCTCCGCCGTGGCCTCGCCGGGGACATTTTGCTTACGGACCGAACACAGAAGTTCGCATTTGCTGCACTTTCCCCTGTGTTTAGTGCTTTCCTTTCGCCCAGAAACTCGAGCGAGGTCATTTTTACAAACAACCCGTTTACAGAGGGACTGGAGGCTCCGAATCGGAACATGTTGAGGCGGTTTTTACAAATTCGGGGCAGTTTCTGTGCGAAATGCTGACAGATTCAGAGACAGGGGAACACGAAAAGCAGGGGCCGCGACAGGACAGCGTTGGGGACGCCACGGGAGCGAGTCGGGGCGCGACCACGGTGGGGGCCCGAGGCCGAGGAGGATGTGCGCCCCGGGACAGGCTTTGTGAGTTTCATGGTGACTTTTCAACGTTACAGCGTTACAAGGTGGTGGGGTCAAGTATTGACAAAGTGAAAAGTGAGCACATTAATGCGGCATTGTATTAAGCTTTTCACAGTAAAAATATTTTCATATAAAATGAAACTATCAAAGGTAAAATGTTAAAATATTTTTAATATAACTTTAAAAAGCATTTAATTAAACTTTTTAAAGGATTAAAATCCTTTAATATTCAATAGAAATGCCAACGTAACATTTAGAAAGTATTTTTAACATTGAGGCTATTAAAAGAGCATTTTACTTAATTTTATTGAAATGTATTTAATATACACCAAAACAAGCAGATAATTTTACTAGGCTGGTGCAAATGTAATTGCGGTTTTTGCAATTGTTTTAAACCTGCTAAACTGCATAGTATCCTGGCTTTAATGGAAGGGAACTCATTAAAAATTTTTTCAAGATTAGTTCTTTACTTGTTTTCATGTATGACAATTTCTCATGACGCCATGACAATTTTAAATAATTTCTATTTAATTTCACATTACTGAATCGGCTTTCATAAGCTCCACCTTGAGTATATCATTAAAAAGAAAAGTGAGCGTTGTGTACAAGGCCTTGAGGACAGTTTAATTTTCTTTCCAGAGAATGAAGGGAACTCTATATGAATTAACCCTTGGTGTTCAGAATTTTAGCAACTGAGTGGAACTTGCCAAAATTTTACTTGTATGGGGCCCCTTTCTCTGTAAGACTCTCAGGGCTTTGCAACGCAAAGTCATTTCTTGTCTTTTAAAAATGATATTTTGTTCATCATGGATGTTTCAGTATTAATTTTCATTTTTTAGTATTGCATTAAAATATTATTTATCTTCACTACTTAGATTTGGTGCCTTCTCAAATTCCGCGCCTGAGGGAAGTAATCACTCTACCCTACCACTAACCCAGGAGAGAGCTTTAGAATTAGTTTTCTGATCTTCAGTGGCTGAAAATCTAGGAATGTCTCATTTCCCAGGATCCTCTCTCCCTCCCCCTTTTTAATTTTTAATCGTTTTCCTGGCCTTTATAGGAAAGGACACTTTATTTAATCAGTGTCTTAAAATAATATCACCACAGGTAGTCTGAATTTGAGGATGAGAGAAGGGATTATTTAGCTCATTTATAGGATTCACAGAACAGCCATTTGTTTTTTGTTTGTCTTCTGACAGTAGCTTTGCCTCATGCTAGTTTTCTGTACAGACTGGCAAGTGTGCTATAAGATTTCCTTTATTAATGCGCTAGGCACTGATCTAAGGGTGGAAACTGGGGCTCTGTCCTTCACAGTCCTACATAAAGCCCCTCTCCTAGACTTTCCATTGGGGGCACCTCAACACGCACACCCCTGAGAGTGTTAAAGGAGCTGCAATCAAAGCTTCTCTTGGCTTGGCTGAACATGGACCACACACATAATCATATGTTACATTCATACTAAAGGCAGCTATCACTCACTATGTTCTGATTCTCAGCCTGGAATTTGCAAATTTTTTGTCTAATCTCTACAATTTCCTGTGTGACCACTAGTAAAGTTGTCTGGGTGCTTTAGAAGAGGAAATGAGGGCCGGCCAAGTGGCGCGATGGTTAAGAACTGGCTTGGGAC